GTGTTGTAAGCCCCGAGTCCGAGCGGCTGGACTGAAAATCGCGACTTTCCCCCATTTTCAGCCGCGGGGAACCGGGCCCTGGGGGCAGCCCCTGGGTGCCCGGGGGCAGGGTGCTGGCATTGCCCCCCAGCTTCCAGGGTGGGTTTAAGACCCCAGTCCGAGGGGCTGCTCTGAAAATCCCAACTTGCCTCTCATTTTCATCCATGAGGCAGCCCCGCATTGCGCCCCTCCCTGCGGCTCTCGAGGTATTTTCAGACACGGATCCCAGGGGCAGCTCTGAAAATCGCGCCTCACCCCCATTTTCATAGGGGCTCCCTGCGTCCCTGGGCTACGCACAGCGTTCAGCCCTGACCCGACCCCGCGCGGCGGCTCACGGCGAGCGCCTTCCCTGCCTCGGAGGGTCTCTCCAGACTTCGCGGGGGAGCCGAAACGCCATGGCCTTTCCTCGCCGCCCGCTCCGCACCCTTGTCTGCTTGCCGCTCTTCTCCAAGCTAGCCACCTCCATCTGTCCAGGTGTCGCGGCATCGGGCGGAGGCGTGCCGATGGGCGCCGTGAGTGGTGCTTGGTCATTATAGTGACCTAAAAAGAGTCAGTTTTATTTCAATGGGGATTTTCCAAGATCAGCGACAGTCCCGCCTTGCACGGGGGCTGTGCGAGGTGCCCCCCTGCGGTCCCTTCCTCGGATCCAACCCCCCAGCCGGTTGTTGCAGGGATGGACACTTGCAACTGTTGCATTATCAGTTGTTGCACCCATGGACACTTGCAATTGTTGCACTGGTACCAGTTGTTGCACTGATGGATACTTTTGAAATGAAATATTTCCCCTCTTTTGATCCCTCCCCAATATCCAGTTGTGGATTTGCTCTGCTGTAAAGCAAACCTGTGTTTATTTTTATGGTAAAAAAAAAAAAAAAAGAAGGTCCCAGCCAAACATGGACGAGGGAACGATCAGCCTTCGTTCGTCCGTGAAGTGACGAGTTTTCTTCGGCGAAGCAAATGGAAACTGCCTTAAATCTGACAGCCGGCGCCTCTTAAATCGGGAGTTCTTCGCCTTTGAGAAATAGGTGCGTCCTTGACTCGTCGCCGGTAGATCTTGCTCGGCTCGGAGGGAGGCACAAGGCTGAGCTGCACGTGGTTCGGTCGAGTGAAAAGGATGCATTGCTTCGTGGAGTTAGCAGGTCGCCCGGTGCTAGTCTAGTTATCTGGGTTTCACAAAGGGGGAAATCCTTGGAGGTTTTTAAAGCCCGGCTCGACGTCCCAGCCAAGGCTTTGATGGAGTCGGGGCTGGTCCTGCTTGGAGCAGGGGGTTGGACTAGAAGTGACCCCCTGAGGTCCTTTCCACCCTCGTTTTCTGTGAGTCTCTAGTATCTGGTGTTGGTAGTGGTTGAGCTCTGACCCAGGGCTGGCACCTTTACCCCGGATGAATCAGGGCTACGTATCTTTTCCTGTGGAAATTACTTCTGATGCTTTCAAATGTTCACTCTGCTTATTTGCATGGAGCAGCCACAGCATGAGGTGCTCTAGCTTTGTGTTTCTTATTTTATTTTTATCTTCATTTCTTTTATTCACTCCTCCCTCGCCCTAGGGATTGTCTAGGTGGGGAAGTTTGGCTAGTTTTGCCACTATGGGGTGAACTGGTATAACCGCTCGTGCGCGCTTTGACGGCAGTGCAAGAACCCATCTGAGCTTGGAGCCAAATGATTCTGCGTGTGAACGCTCGTACGGAGACCTGTGCGCGGTTATTCAGGAACAGCTATTATGCTTTTAAGCAGGCAAATTTCACGTAATCCAGATTTAATTATAAAGTGGGGAAAAAGCCTAAAGAGGATTTTTTGGTGTGGTTCAAACTTCTCCCCAGAGGACGCGTGTTAAATGTAGAAAAGCACTAATGCCAGGCTGTTTCTATTGTGACATAATGTTGGCATAATTATCTTGGTTTAAATTCCTACCTTGGATTATACCCAAAAAGCCTGTGGGTAAAGAAGACCTTAACATGACTTTTCTCACGAGATTGAAACCATGTAATTTGTCTGCTGTGGGCTAACATGGCTTCAAATGGATAAGCCTGCGTTTTACTGGAGTTTGTTAACGGTAGGCTCACATGTTAGAAAAGATGTACCTTTTTTGGCCTTCATGGTACACTTCATTTATGTGCAAGGTGGAACAGGTTGGAGCTCTGGGAAGGGAGGGTAATAACGCGACTAGATCGGGATTTGGGGGCGGGGGGGGGGCATCAACATGGACAGGCAAAATGTGATTGCATCTTTGTTTTTGTGCTGATGGCTTGGAAATCTGTGCTTACACAGCCTTCTCCTTCCTTCAGGCAATGGTAAACGTGATTTCCAGTTGAATTTGCTCATCTTGAGAGCTGCATTGATTGCATTTCAACAAGTTGCATTTGTTGAGCTCATGCTCGATTGCTTTAGCTGCATACGTAGGCATTAAATGTATTAAAAATGGCAAATGCTGCCATTTCCAGTTGCCCGTTTCAGCAGCGTTGCAGTTGGTTTTCAGGTAAGATGGTCCAAGCGGGGCTCGGGTATGAGACGCTGTCTCGATGATGCTTAGAGAAGACTTGTGCGGCGGTGGAGGTTATTCGTACGTCAGTCTGTTGTTCTGATATAAATGGACGCTCAGCCGAGCGACGTGCACGTGCAAGCGCAGGGAGGATGCACTCAGCCGTTTTTTTGGAGCAAAGCAATAGTAACGGACTGGGTTGGAATGGGCGGAAAGTGCTGTAAATTAGATAGGAAACTGAATGTGGCTGAGGGGAAAAGTTAAGCTCTTGGCTGTCTATTAATTGGACTGGAGTTGATGGGAGAAGGTGGTTAATTAGGAGGCTCTCCGTATTTTGTGGGAGCGGGGCCCTCTGCTCTTTGACAAACAGGATGACAGAATCCGTGGCTAGCGGGTGGGCTTGGAAACCAGCATGCTGTATGGGTGCAGCGCTTGCTTGGCTTTGTGTAGAGAGAAAAAAGCCCTTTCAGAGCTCAATTTTTATCAGTTAATTAGTGGTGCTTGCTGATTTGCCATTGCTGGGCGATGACTATTTCCAGTTCTTTCCTGCTCGGTGGGGTTAGTCCATCGCTGAATGTGCAAACCAGCCGTTGGCACCTTTG